TCGGCGATACATCGCCGATAAATCGGCGATGGGCCCCCGATTGTGAATCCGCACCTTCCTGTGAAGGTTGGGGTTATCGGGCCCCTATCGGCGATCGATGGGCGATTCGGGGTCGATGCACCCCCCCCTATGTCTGTCCCCCCCTATCGTTACCCCTGGCTTTGTCTTCAGGGCCTCCAGCGCGCGACAAGCGACAAAAGGCCCCAAGAGGGCCAGGGGAGAGTCGGGGAAAGGGAGGAGGAGGAAGCGGGGAAGGAGGAAGAGGAGGAGGAGGAGGAGGAGGCGGAGGAGGAGGAGGAGGAAGAGGAGGAGGAGGAGGAGGAGGAGGAGGAGGAGGAGAGGAGGGAGGGAGGAGGAGGGGGGGACCAGGAGCAGGAGGAGGAGGAGGAGGAATAGGAGGAGGAGGAGGAGGAGGAGGAGGAGGGAGGAGGAGGAGGAGGAGGAGGACGATGAGGTGGAGGTTGGGGAGGCGGAAAAAAAGAGGAGGAGGAGCTGGAGTAAGAGAAGTGGGTCGAACTAGGCGAGGAGGAGGTGGAGGGGGGGCGAGAGGTGAATAAAATGGAGAAGGGGGTAAGGAGGGAGGAGCAGGAGGAGGGGGAGGCGGCGGCGGCGAAACGATATCGGACCGAATGCATCCAGTCAGAAAGAAAACATAGCGAACACGCGGGGCAACATTCAACTATATACGATCGATCGTGCGCTTGGCAGACGAATTATGAACGGCCCATCGCAGCAGGGAGCCACGAGTTGTCCTCGCTCAACCTGGAGGCACAGACATCGAGACGAGAGCACAGGCCTGCACAAGGATCGGTCTCTAAGAGACCCAGTTCCCGAGAAACGAAACCTAGTAGCGTAGGCCACCCATTCCTAAAAGCTGAGGGATCTCGGAGCATGAGGCGGGGCAGAAGAGGAACGGTGGCCAGGAGGAGGGGGATGGTCAACAGCGGCAACGGCGGGGCCTGCCTCCACGAACGGCGCGGGGATCACGGGCCCCCCATGCGCGCCTCGAGGAACACGACCCGCTGCAGTCCCAGCGAGCTCCGAGCTCGCCCGATCTCCAGCACTCCCAGCGAGCGCATCAGGTCGCTTACCCCCCGCATTCCCAGCAAGGACACCTGGTCGCTGACCCACTGCGTTCCCAGCACGATCAGCACGCCGTGGATCCACTGCACTCCCAGCGAGCTCACGAGGTCGCTGATCCCCCGCACCCCCAGTACGCACACGTGGTCGCTGACCCCCGTCAATCCCAACGTGCTCGGCCCTCGAACGACCCACTGCCCACTCAACGACAGCGTCACAATCCACACACGCATCAAACAAGGATGTCCCAGAAATGCCCACATCATGGTTTGAACCTCTCGGTCTGTCAATTACTGGAACCAAACAAGAGCCACGTAGACGTGTGCACGATGATTGTGGGCATCGTGTGCTCCAGTTCGTCGAAGGCGAACTGGGGCACCCGTTCGCTGTGTGACCTTGGCGCAAGGCCTGGGCGCGGAGTCGCGCCGAGCTGCTCCGCACACGACTGGAAGGTGCGGGCCGGGCCGATGTCTGCGAACGAGTAGACGAGATTGGCCATCCCCTTCTTGTGGCAGCTGGAGACTCGAAAGCCCTTGATCAGGAGCGCCACCCCGGGGATGGACGAGATCGGGTCCAGCTCGCCCTTCTGCTCGGCCCAGTCCTTGGAGTTGCGCGCTCCCACCGACGCCTTGGCGTCCGTCACCAGCTGCGCGACCACCAGGAAGATCTGCACACACGCTGACCCCATCACCCCGCCAATTCTGGCAGCAGGTTGTCGGCTGGAGACTTCTGGTGCAAGTCGCGAAGGCGAGCGGCTTCTGTCGCGCGCACGGCCTGCTCGAAAGGCAGACTGCACCAGTGGAGCGTCTTCGCCCATTGTCATCGTGACGAAGTCTGCCGCCATGATCTGACGCATCATGACTGAATTTCCAAAGAAAGGCGCTCATCAAGATGGGTACTATCTTCGCCATGAGCTGGGCGATCATGGGCGGGAGCCTGTCGAGCGTGTCCTCGGGGATCCCGTAGCTCCTGCCAAGCTCCATCTTGGGGTCGTCGCTGCCTGTTGCCTTCGCCGCGCCGCCGCCTGCGGCCCGCTGCGGCCGCCTGTGGCCGTCGTTCCGCGGGCCCCTGCTGCGCTGGACGCGCCGCCCTCCGCGCGCTCGGGAAGCGGCTGCCGAGCGAGCGGCCTCTCTCTCTGCGAGGCCCCTCCCCATGAAGCGTGACCGCCTTGCCGCGCCCCTTCTCGCCCAGACGGAACATCGATGCCGAAGGCAATGGGTAGCCGCGGGGCGCGAGTGCGAAAGCGTCTGTTCAGCTCGGCTCGGTCCCGAAGCGGCTCGGCACAGCCGCGCGCGTACTCCGAACAATGACCGCCGAGGATCGAGGCCACCTTAATCTCGGACAAAGGACAGAGCAGGCCAGGGGGTTCCAGGACGGGGTGATGGGACGTCGAAGCCCTCGGAGGACATCGGGCCTTCAGGGCTGCCTGTACCGCATGTTCCTGTGCGAGGCGATGCGTGCGAAACGATTGGTGGCAGAAGATGCATTCGTTCGTAACGATGATGGAATGTGCGAGGGACCTGCACGAGTGGCCTCCGTTCTTGAAGAAACGCCGGTGCGCCAGAAGGGCCCGTCGAGTTTGAAAGACCTGACCGCAGACCTGCCCCTGGGAGCCCATAAGATCACAAGTCCAGCTCGCTGTAGGAGGAGGGGGTGCACCCAGAGCTAGGAGCCAGAAAAAAACACACAAAGGAATTTGGTACCACCAGCTGTGCAACGCACGTGCACACATGCCACTGGATCCCCACCGATCCGGATCAGGGTTGATGCGCGGCCGTGCTCTAGACTGCAGTTGACATGTATGGCGTGGTAAGGCTGTCGGCGGCGACACGATCCCAAGAACCGCTACCAGCAAACATACCATGGTGGTTTGGCACAGCCAAACCACCGTGCAACGTCAATTTGTTCATCCGTTGACAGCAAAACGCGTCGCGGCAGCAGAACGCGCTAGCGCGCGCGGGCATGCAGGGCCGGCGATGTGGCTGGCCAGCTGCCAGCGCGAATTCGGCAGAAAAACCAAAAACCACATAGGATCATTTTGGGCGTGGTATCCGGCGCAGCTGCATCGCACTGCCAGGCGCCGCGGCCTTGTGATTGTAGCGCCAGGCCCCGTGCGCTCCTCGATGCGGGAAAGTAAGCTCTACACAAAGGAATCGCGCGTGCTCTTCTGGGGGCGGCGAATTCGATCGTACATTAAGGAAACTCCTTTGTGTGCCCCCCGCGTTGGCAGCGCAACCAGACCGCACACAAAGGAATTACGCGAGATTTCGTGGCACACCAAGGAATTACAGCAACGCCCTTTGGGTTGCGCTCCTCGCGCGCGGTGACAGCTCCGAGCTGGAAAGGAAGGGGGGCGGGGCAAGGCAAAGCAAGGGAAGAGGAAAGGGAAGAGGATGGCGAGAAAGAAGCGAAGGAAGCAACGGAAGGAAGCCAGGATGCGCGCAAGCGAAGCTAACGCTGCGCGTCGAGACAGCTGCTCGTTCGTTCGGTTGGCCGTGCGGCAGATGAAAAGAAAAAAATGTGTGCTGCATATCGAAGGGACTTCTTGGGAATGAGACTCGCGCTCTCTCGTCCCAACCCTCTTTCCCACGCCCCGTTGCGAGGGCGACGATTTGTTCTGGCCCGCGGGCAGAGGACTGCCAGTTGCTGGCGAGCGGCCGTTCCACCCGTCACGCGTTCCGAACAAATGCGACCAGCTAAACGCGCTTGCCACGCAAACCGCCAGCTCCAAACACCGACGCCACCCCGATCCCCGCATCCGCGCCATGCACCCTCGCAACGACGCCCCCTTCAGGCGTAAAACCAATAAACCCTTTGTGTTTATGTGTTTTTCCTGTTCTGAAGAGCACCAGCACGATCCTCGAGACCAGGAAGAGCACCATAGAGCCCAGGAGGTGGGGGGATCGCAGCAGTTCGGCGGCACGAAAAAGAGCCCAGGGTCTGTGGCCAGAAACTGCTCCTTGAGGTCCCCATCCATGAACAGGGCCTCGACATTCAGACGCAGTGCTGGTTCTGATGAGGGGCCCGAGAGCAACCAACCTTCAAGAAGAGACACCTCGGACTTCTGGATCAGGCTCAAGATGTCGAACGCGAAGCGTCTGGCGTATGAGTTCGACTGCTCCTGAAGAAAGCCAGGCTCGGTCACCGTGGGACTCTCCTCTATGGGTAGCTGCCCAAACAGAGCTCCTAGCTCATGAGGATGACGGTCGGGAAATCGGATCCACTGTTGGTATTGGCGAAGCCGTGGAGGAGGAGGAGGAGGAGGAGGAGGATAATCCAGAGTCTGGAAGATTGGCGAAATGATGAGGAGGAGGAAGCAAAGGATCGAGAAATGAAGAGAGAGGAGTCAGAAAGAGGAGGAAGAGGAAGGGCGAAGAGGAGCGACACCGAGGCGCAGAGGCACACGATGCCCAGGCGGACAGGAGTAGAGGTACACAGAGGAAAGGGACCAGAAGGGGAAAGCGACGATGCGGCGAAACGACGATGTTGACAGTGACGACGATAATGCCGGTGATAATGCTGATGCTGATGCTGATGATGATGGTGATGATGATGGTGGTGATGATGGTGGTGGTAGTGGTAATGATGATGACGATGGTGGTGATGAGTTTGATGGGGATGTTGATACTGATGATGGCGACGATGGTGATGATGATGATGATGATGATGATGATGGTGGCGAAGAAGATGATGCTGCTGGTGGTGATGGTGATGATGGTGGTGACGATGCTGACGAAATTGAAGATGGATAGTAAGATGAAGATGAAGACGAATATGGCGATGAAGATGAATATAACGATGACGATAATGATAATGATGATGATGATGACGATGATGATGATGATGATGACGATGATGATGATGATGATGATGATGATGATGATGATGATGATGATGATGACGGCCACGACGACGCTGCTGCTGAGAATGATGCTGACTATGATGAGACAGGCAGACGGAGGAGCTAGATAATTGGAGTGAGGCGCCCCCCGCCTCGGATGTTTTCTATTTGGGCGGGGGAGCATCCGAAAGAGGAGCTGCAAGACGAGGAACAGCAGGAAGAAGAGGTCGTGAGCAGCGCGCGTGCGGGAAAGGGAGGCCAGTGCCGAAGCATGCGATGTCGGTAGACGGCGACTGTCGTCAGACCCGCGCTAGTGTACAACCAGCCTCCAGGATATGCCTTGCTATGTGAAAAGGCTGCCGAACCAAAGGTTCATACTCATTGGCAACAGAACATTGTCATACCATGCAATGCACCCGAGAGCGCAGGTGATGAATCCCACCAGCCCTTTGGGCGTGAGTGGTTTAGCGAGCTCTCTCTGTTCTCAACCCCCCTTCTTCCCCTTCGGGGAGGGGTTTACCCCTCACCCTACCCCCTCCCCCTGGACCTGGAGAGGGGGTTTCGCGGGTCGTTGGAGGGGTCTTGTTCGACTCCTGGGAGGGCTAAAATTCGACACCCCTCATGAGGATTCTGGCCCCGACGGGGGGGAGGAGAAAAGTGCTCGCCCCATCTGTGATCGATCGCCCGAAAGATGGCCCCAAGCTACCTCCCAGACCCCTCCCAAAGAGCCCCAAGAGGCCCCAAGAGGCCTCCAAGAGGCCCCCAAGATGCCCCCAAGAGGCCCCCAAGAGGCCCCAAGATACTCCCCCGAGGCACCCAAGACGCTCCTGGAAGCCCCTGGGGCCGCCAAGAGGCCCCCAAGACGCCCCAAACGGCCTCCAAGAGGCTCCCAAGAGGCCCGAAGAGGCTCCCCCAAGGCACCCAAGACGCTCCTAGAAGCCCCTGGGGCCGCCAAGAGGCCCCCAAGACGCCCCAAAAGGCCTCCAAGAGGCTCCAGGCCCGAACGACTCACACCAGGACGAGGCGCCCGAACGACTCACACCCGAACGAGACGAGGCCCCCGAACGACTCACACCACGAGGAGCCCGAACGAGTCACACCAGGAGGAGGGGCCCGAACGACTCACACCAGGACGAGGGGCCCGAACAACTCACACCACGAGAAGCCCGAACGACTCACACCAGGACGAAGAGCCCGAACGACTCACACCACGAAGAGCCCGAACGACTCACACCAGGAAGAAGGGCCCGAACGACTCACACCAGGACGAGAAACCCCAAACGACTCAAACCACGAGGAGCGCTTTCTCTCCCTCCTCCTCCGCCTCGTCCTTCTCCCGCTCCCACCACAAGGAGGATGTACAAGGAGGCGGGAGGAAGGAGGAACAGGGGAGATATGCGGGGGCAGGCGGAAACACGCCTGAAAAACACGACTGTCGGCATGCTCTGCAAGAGTTGCTGTTTTGAGATGGGCTGGTGGGGATACGCGAAGCGTGAAGAATTAAGATAATTAAGGGCCTCGAGGTGAGCTTCACGGAAAGCAAATTGGAAAAGGTCAGCCCACGGGAGAAATCGCAATCACTGCCTGCGGAACTCTTACGTGGGTGTGCATCACGGCGGCCGCACAACCTGCTTGTCTATCTTCTCGACAACCTGGTAAGACTGCCAACCATCAACTCTAGGATTGGGCTGGTAGCCGCCGCCTGTAAAAATCCTGACCACCCCCGCGTGCTTGTCCGTGAGGGCCCCAATCTTCTCCATGCTCCGATACTTCTCCTCCAGCCTCTGCCCGAGCAAGAAGCTCAGCGCGCAATCGCTGAAAGAGTTGCAGTTTTTCCTCAGAAGGTCATACGTTCCAGGCATAAAGTGCGTGTGCAGGTACTTTATCATGGCGGTGCGGGACATCTTCGTGTAGCCCATGTCAATTATCGTTGGCCTCCCGCCGAAGGGGACATGGCTGGCAATGCCCTGGAGCTGGTCAATGCCCCGGCCGCTGAAGGAGAACTCCACGTCGTCCACGAGGACCGAGGTGTGGTAAGCCTGGAGCATCTCCGGCATCGGCGGCCCGATGGGACTCGCTACAAGCTTCACCCTCCGCTTCCTGCCCTGCTGGCCGTCCTCCCTGGGCGCAGGCTGGCGCCCGTGGGTCGCGCCCATTGCTGACTGCGGCAAGCCTCTGGACTGCGTCAGAGCGTGCTGGCGCCGGCGGCCACTGCGCCAAAACGGCTTGAGCCAAACTGGCTGCGGAGCGCGAGCGAGTCCGTGTACGAGTGGCTCTGAGCACTGATGAGTCGGAGTATGAGCTGAGAAGCTGGCTGACTACGAGTATATGAAAGAAGCGGCGGAAGTGAGGGTGGCATGGGGGGCGTACCACACTCTGGGTGCATGGAGGCAACATTGAACAACATGGATTCGGTTCGATGTGTCCGTCCGTTGCTCGCTTTGCTCCCTGAATGTCCCAAGATATTTTGAAGGTGGCCCCAAGAGCACGATCTTGTACAAGACGGCTGACCCCAAAAGCTGTTCGAAGCCACCTCGGGGCCGCCTTAGGCAATCTTCGGGCAGGTTTGGCAAAAGTTCCCAAGATGGCCGCCCAAATCACACAGGATGGCCCAACAACGTCCCAAGATGGCCCCAGGACGCCCTCAAAGATGGGCCCGAGAGGCCCCAATGTAGGCCTCGCGAATACCCTACATGGCCTGAGGATGCCTACCGAGGCCCTGCAGTGCCCCCCGGAGAGGCCCCAGGCTAGCCACGATGGCCCAAACACGACCTCGATACAGCCACAGATGGCTGCGGCCCTTCTGACACTCTTCCGGGGCCAGGGCCCCCGAGATGCGGGCACTCCCGGGGAGGGCCCGTGCCGCTCCGTGGAGGCCAGGGCCCCCTTGCAGCAGCTCCCGGGCGCTCTCGCGCGCTTCCGGGCATCCCCGCGTGAGGTGTCCAGAGGCCTCTGGAGCGCGGCGGGGGGTCGGGGTCGGGCCTTGCAACCTCGAACATGCTCTGGTAGGAACTTCTCCGGGGCCCTTGCAGGCGCTCCAGGGGGGGGCCCTTGAGCCGCCTCCTGGGCGGCCCAGGAGGCCAAAAGCCGCCGACCACCGCTTGCTTGGGGTGACAAGGCGCTTGGGGCAGTTGGCACAGATGGCTGCGGCCCTTCTGGCACCCTTCCGGGGGCCAGGGCCCCCGAGACGCGGGCACTCCCGGGGAGGGCCCCGCGTGCCGCTCCGTGGAGGTCAGGGCCCCCTTGCAGCAGCTCCCGGGCGCTCTCGCGCGCTGCCAGGCGCATCCCCGCGTGAAGTGTTCCGGAGGCCTCTGGAGCGTGGCGGGGGGTCGGGGTCGGGCGTTGGAACCTCGAACATGCTCTGACATGAATGAAGGGGCCCCAGCACACAGAAATGAATACACACAAATAAACAGATTCCCCATATGTTCCCATATGTTCCGGGTTCTTGTCTTCCCCCCCCAACTTCCCATATTTTCCTATATTTTCTGGGGGCTCGACGACTAATTGTGTCTGTGTTTTTTCCCCTCCTGAATGAACTTCTCTGCGATCTAAGAGAGAGGGGGCCCTTGAGCCGCCTCGGGCGGCCCGCGAGGCCAGAAGCCGCCGACCACCGCTTGCTGGGGGTGACAAGGCGTTTGGGGCAGTTGGCCGTCTCCCTCTCCCCTTCCCCCCTCCCCCAGGGTCCAAGATCTCGTCTTGAAGGGAGGGGGCGGGGGGGTCCCCACACGACCTCGCCAGCGCACCTCCGGGACCCTCCGAGCCTCGAAGCGCCCTCCGTTGCCTCCAAGATGCCCTGGATGCCTGCCAAGACGGCTCGAGAAAGGTTCCAACACGCTGGAGAGGCCTCAGGAGCACCCAAAGATGCCCTGAGGTCGGGCCAAGAAGCTCCTCAGACACCACAAGAGGGCTCCAAGAGGGCCCACAAGAAGGCCTCGAAGAGGAACAAACATAATCTTCTTTGGTGTGTGGAAGGTTTTGGTGTTCTCCGTGTCTGAAATCCTCAGAGCAGCCTGAGAAGCTCCCGGACTGGTCCAAGACTTCCCAGAAGGCCCTCAAGAGGGCACAGAGAAGGCCCAACATGGCACAGCAAGCCCCCAAGACGGCCCAAGGTCCCAGAGAGGGCGGAACCCAAGATGCGGAACTCGAAGGGGCCTCAAGATGACCACGAAGACCCTCGACATGCCCATACGAAGCCCCCAGAGACGCCACCAAAAGACTCCAACGGAGCCCAAAAAGGCCCCCAGGAGCCATCGAAAGGATCTCAGGAAGCCCCCCAAGACTTAAGTTGATCCCATCGTACTAAAGACCCTATCCCAGAAATACTTGCGAACACCCAGAAAAGTATCGAAACGGTGTCGAACGAGTACCGCCTCCCAGGGCACGCCACGTGAAAACCCAGAAATTTCGGTACTTATTTGGTGCTCGCCATTATTCCTGGTAGTCAAGGCTACAATCGTTTGAAGCATCATAACCCAAGACCTCCAGGAGGCCCCCAGGAGGCCCCTCAACAGACGACGGGCCGATTGCGTTTCCACCGCCGCGAACTCCGTCTCCGGGGGGGGCGGCGAAATGGCTCGTGCATCTTGAGTCCACCCGCCCACTGGGCTAAGGGGCGCGTGGGAGCGGACTGCGAGAACAAGTTCTCAGGGCTTTAGCTCCCTCCTTTTCCCTCCCCGAGAGACCCCGCAGAAGATTTCGCCATTCTCCCCCATAATGTTTCCCTCCTTTTCCTTCCCCTCCTTTTTCCCTCCTTTTCAGGGCTTTAGCCCCCTCCAGAAGATTCCGCCATTCCGCCCGCCGCCCAGCTGCGGTATCGGCGACTTTCAGACCCAAGACGGCTTCCAGACAGCGTCCAAGACGAGCTCAAGCTTCAAACCGTTCCCAGCATCATTTCGGGGCGTATTGATGCTCCATGTTGTCCGCTTCGGAGCCCCGTCTTGGCCTTCAAGATCAACTAGCGGGACCCTTAAGAACGCCTCATGGGTCAAACTTCGCCTGCAAAGTGCAAACTTCAAACATTTCGAAACCTTTCAACGTTTTTGGAGATTGGGCCTCGCTGGGATCGCCCGAAGGCCTCTTACAGCTGACATTCGCGCTCATCTGGAGTTTTCCCAGCAAAGCAATATCGATGTCGTTGTTTGGACGCGCTCCAGAACCAGTTTTGGACGAGTCTGGACCAAAAAGGGCGCCAAAAAAGGAGACAAAAGTGCCCAAACCCTGGCCTGGTTACAATGAATGCGGACGTGGCTGGGGGCCGGCATGAAGATACTCGCGCTTGGGCCGTCCGACGGCAGGCCCGGGTCGCCTCGGGCCCATCTTGGCCTGTGATGGCGCCCTCTTCTGACCGTGTGTGGCGACTTGTTTGGGCCGTCGTCCATCAGCATCGTCACCATGATGATGATGATGATGATGATGATGATGATGATGATGATGATGATGATGATGATGGTGATGGTGATGATGATGATGATGATTATGATGATGATGATGCTGATGATGCTGATGATGCTGATGATGCTGATGATGATGATGACGACGACGACGATGATGGTGATGATGCTGGTGGTGATGATGACGATGCTGGTTGTTTAGGCTGTGCGATGCTCTGGCTATGGTTTGCCTCCTGTTGTGGTGAGGGAGCAAAGGTCACGAGGACCGGCGTCCAGGTCACTGATCCGTTGGTAACAGCGATGGGCCGACTGTAAAAACAACTTGACGATCGATCAGCCACACGGCATACGCGAGTCCAATCGGCGATGGGATGGAGAAATGAAAACCAGGAAAAAAACAAAACACACCTACAGGGCTACATTTGACTACCTTCGGAATGCTGTCGTCCCATCTTGGAGCCGTACGCACCTCGTCTGGGAAAGAGTGGAATGAGCGGGCGGTAAACGCAAAGCGTCTTGCATCGTTTCGATTCGCTGTTCGGTCTTTGGTGCGCCAAAGACGGCCCAAGAGGCAAGGCCCCCAAGAGGCGCCCAAGCAGCCCAAGAGGCCCCCAAGACCGCCTCAAAAGAGGTCAAAGAGGGTGAATACAAATTGTCACTTGAAGCCGCCACCCCAAAATGGCCCGCTTAGACTGCCTCCAAGCACCCCAAAGGTTGGGCGGCGCGCACAGGGGGATAGACGGCGGGGGGAGGCTACTTAGGAGGCTGCCTCTTTGAAGGCGCGGACCACCCTTCTGAGAAGCCAGATGCACGCCGCTTCTTAGAAGCACCCCAGCAGCTTATGAAAAGCACGGAACAGCCTCTTAGAAACAAAAGCAGCTTCTCAGCATCAAGCAGCCACCTGCTTCTTAGAAGCATAGCAAGAACAGTTTTCAAAAAGCAACCACCAGCCACTTCGAGGGGGCGCCCGCGCCTTCTAAAAAGGAAATGTGCTTCTAAGCCTCCCCCCCTTCCCGCAACCCCCTCTTGCGCGTGGCTGAAGAGGGCCCCAAGAGGACCCCAGATGCCCGCAAGAAGTCTCCAGGAGGCCTCAAGCGACCTCCAAGAGGCCCCCGAGACGCCCGAGAAGAAATTCCAAGAGACCCCAGGAGACTACAAGACCCCAAGATGTCTCTCAGAGGGCTTATGGGCAACGTCTATTCAGTCCGCCGCCTCGTAGCCTGTCAAGGGGTGATGGCGTCCCCGAAGTTGTAGCTCCTTTAAAATCTCTGCGCGCCCGCTGGCCGCCAGAAAAACAAAAGTCAGCACTAGCCGCATTCAAGGATCCATGAATAGCGGGGATGGCCTCCAAGACGGCCCCAGGTAACTCCGAGACGCTCCAAGCACAGGCGGCCACCAGGACGCCAAAAGATGCCCCCGAGGGTGCCAGGAGGCAAAAGCCACTGTTTCCCGAAAAGAGTTTGCACTTCGGGGCTCTCACTTCGATTACATCGAAAAATTGTATGATGGGCCTGTCGTCCACCACCACCACCACCAGAAGTTGGAGGGGGAAGGGGGGCGAGGAGGAGGAGGAGTAAGACGAGGGGCGGAGGACCCCCCCTCCCCCCTCCAACCCATCATTGAAGGGGCCCTGGGACACACAAATAAATACACACAAATAACAGGATTCCCCATATTTCCCCATATGTTCTGGGTTTTGTGTCTCCCCCCCCACTTCTCACATTGTCCTATATTTTCTGGGACATCGAAGATCGATTGTGTCTGTGTGTGTTTTTCCCTCCTGAATCATGGCCGTGGTGGTGGTGGTGAAAAAGCAGGCCCATCATTGCATGGGCCTGCTGGAGGCCCA